CCCCCCCCACATTGTAGCATTAAGTTGACAATATCGGGTAGAGATCTGGTCCATTTGTTCAATACTCCGTTTATGGCTTAAGATTACTTTCCAAAATTCGTCAAATTTCTCTGTCTGTAATTTCTACCTCTCCGAAAGTCCTTCGTGGTGCTAGAAGTGGGATAACATCCCATTAAGGTGTCTTTCACGACTTAAAAAACTCTAAAATCGACAATGGAAATGCTTCCAGATCCGGTAATTCCATGGCCATTGTTTGGGCATTACTTTGATTTTTACCAATATGATTGGCAACAATGTGTTTTCATTTTCATTAAGGGAGCGCTTTGAGGTAATGTTTTACACGTTGTAAAACGAAGATCAACCATTTTTTTACTTTCGATCAATACAAATGCTATCGAGTGAGTAAAAAGCAACAGTTTTGTATAAATAATTACACTACCATTCGGGGATAATTAAATCCCCGAATTCGATTCTAATTTTCTATAGTATTTCTTTATTACATTTAATTGACTATTTATAGAGGTAATTATGCTTTATTAGCTTATTATTTTCTCAAATTCTAATCACCAGGTGCTTTCCTGATACCTTATATTCTGATGTACGTGTTTGGTGGATTGCCACTATTCTACATGGAATTGGCTTTAGGACAGTTCCAAAGGAGCGGATGCATCTCGGTTTGGAATCGTATTTGCCCCTTCTTCACCGGTTAGTCCAAAATTTTCGATTCAGAATAATTTCAATAGTACTTAGACCGAAATTCACTCACCTCAAGTTAAAATGCACTATCTCAGATCTATTATCTTATGATTATGCATTTGGTTTATTATTTTGCAATGTCACTCCGCTTCCTAACCCCCCCCCCTCCCCCAAACCCCATGGAATTGGACTGAATTGAAATAGCAAGGCCGTTCATTGTAATTATCCAATCAGAAAGCAGGTGTTCCTTCAATAATTCAGGTGTTATATCAGATTACAATTAGTAAATACTTTACAACTTGAATCCAAAAAAGAAATAAAGCAACTCATTGGCACCTTGGCATTTGTTTTGATATCTTGGGTTTAGCTATTTATTGATTTTCATTTAACGATTCCATTTGCTTCATGCAATTGAAAAAAAGTAAAAATCGTTGATCTATGGTTTACATCAATGAATTTTGCTATTGTTTTCATTAAATAAGTTAATTTTTAAGGAGGGGTTGACAATTTAGTTAAAAGCTATATGGTTGTTGACAAAGTTTTAGATGAAACCTGGAAGCAGAGAACGATCGTCTTGAAAATACTTCTTCATAGAGTAAATGCCAATATTGAAGCATGATTATCATGCTAATATTCGAAATCTAAAACGGCAGATTTGTGTTACGTGATCTTCAAGTTCAATGGTCCAGTTTCCACCTAGTATTGAAACATTTACTCTACCATTTGATAAATTTTAACCCCATAAAATGTTCTTCAGGTCAAATTAAGTGGCGTTTACTTGCAGTTCCTTCGTAGTCCGAGTACTTGGTAATTCTGTGCATCAAGATGCTTATTTTCAAGTCGTCTTTGTTCCCTCAATCGATATTTTGATCCAGAAGTAAGCAATAAACTAGGTCAATAAAGATATAATTTAGACACAAATGCTATTCATTAAAAATGTCAACTATCTCGAAATTAAAGATTCAGCTTTTGTATATTTTCCGTGCAGGTTTGGGCTACGGAATCTGTATTATCGCAAGTTACACCGCCTGGTATTACAATACCATTATTTCCTGGGCTCTTTTCTACATGTTCGACTCAATGCGATCGCGTCTACCGTGGGACAGTTGTGACAATTGGTGGAACGACCCGAAAACGTGTATTACCGTCTACCAGAAACTCGTTACCGGCACAAATGACACTTCAGCCGACAATCTTCTAAACATCACCCGACATGCTGTTAATACAACTGGCTACTATTCGTCCACCGAGCAGTATTTCTAGTAAGTTGGCAATTTTTAGGTAAATCTCTCATTAACTTATAAATTGTTTCCATACCTCCCACTCTCAAGAGAAGGATCTATTGCTGTTACTATCTTCTAATTGTTGGCCAAGAATTTATTCAGTATCTCACTCTAGTGAAACGTTGTTTGACTTAAGACTCGGAGTGGTTGTAGTCAACAAAAGTGGGCAACTTGGTTAAGATAAGCAATAAACTGAAAGTTAGATCCCATTTCTCAACTCCCAACTTTGCTATAGATCGCGGGTAATTATAGTAAATAAGTGGGCAAATATTAGTTAAAGACGGTCAGTGTTTTCTATTTGATAGATCGATTAATCGATAATCGGAAAATCTCCAACCTGAAAGATTTCAATGAAAGATTGCAAAAACTAAGTTAGTGCTCTTTTCAGTAGCACGACCACAGCTATGCTACACGGCATCGGTAATTGAATATGTTATTATGAAAAAGGAGGGAGAGAGTGTGGAACCAGAAGACATGGAACCAGAAGACTGGAAAAGAGTGTTAGGTAAGGGAGGAAGACAATAAGCCGTTCAAGAGTTTTTGGTTTAGTTTTATGCACACAACTTCGCACTGAAGACATTCCACTGGATAAAATTCGATAGATTTCAACTGCAGGTTGTGCATAAAATTTGTTGCGTTACGAAAAAAAACGCCACTCAGCTACTTTTTAATCCTTTCTTTTACGAGTGTTTCCTTCCTAGCACCATTATTAGCATTAGTTCCTCAAAAATTGAGATTTATAACGAAGAGGCACTTGTTAACATATTATGCTTAAATGGACACTTAAATGGTCATCGAATCAAAATCCATAAATCATTTTGGTTTGAAATATCTTTGACAAAATTGACACCAGGCAGAGATTATTATTACGATTATTTGAGCAAGTTTCAAAGCAGTAGTCGTTTCTCAGGCATTACACCATCTTGACAAATCTTTCTAGTAGTAACCTCTAAAGCTGCCACGCAATTTATTGGTTCTTCTTCTTTTCATAAGATAAGCACCGATTGATGTTGAATCAATGGTCTCTCGTTACAGGCGACGTCTCGAATTTGAGTAATATTGAGGCACGTGATCGTACAAGGGAACGAGTTCTCTCCGCGGCCGTCGATCAGTCAATTAGAAAACTCCCTCAACTATTTACACACCGATGTACCCTCTTAACCAATAGCGAGAAGCCCGTTGTCCTGATTAAATTTATGTACATTGTTCATCTAATTTGGTGAAATTACGGCCAAAGTATGCCCCCAGTAGACGTGTTACTTACTCAGGGCGACTGCGTAGCACTGCGACAGTGATTTGGAAGCTACCTATGAAAAGCATTTACACAAAGGATACTAGTCGAATTGAATGATTAAATAGAACAAAGTACTACCAAGTAGACTGAAGTAATAAATGAGAATCCATTTATTTTAAATTCTAATTGTTTACGGTTCAAAATTTTCGTGTTCATGAACGTATATTGAAGTACTTCAGGATAAAATATTTATTTATATTATCCTATATTCTTTTTTGGCTATTTATACCGGTTTATTTAATTATAGCAACCGGGTGCTTCAAATTCAATATGCTGATGGATTCAACAAAATGGGAACCGTTCGATGGGAGATTGCTCTTTGCCTCATGGCTGTTTTCACAATCGTCTACTTCGCTCTTTGGAAAGGCGTCAAGAGTAGTGGAAAAGTAACACAATTATATAATGTTGAAAGATACATATATATCTTTACTCTCAATATCTCTCAATAAATGATTGAATAACCCCCAAGACCTTATAGAGTAACTTTTCAAATCCATTGTGGAGCGTTCGGCACTAACGTACAATTTAGGAAAACGTTTTCAAACATTCCGATAAGGCGTAGGTAAAACGTAATGTTATCAATCAGGTGGGCAACAAAAATTCTACGCTCTGTTCTATTGAGTCTGCTTTAAGAGTGCTATTAACTATAGAACTTACTGGTGACGCAGCAGTGGTCATTAAAATCTGGGTACTTCAAATTCACTGAGGAGCAAATCTCAACCACTACGCCACCTATCTTGCTATTCCAGTAAATATCGTCCTTTTCTCTGCAATATTCATTTAAATGAAAGAGCGATTAGAGTTAACAGCCAACATTTTCCAACTTGTGGCAAATCTCATGATAGAGTATTTATTAGCAAGGACGATACTTACTATCATGGTCTTTGGAAGGGAAAGTTCAGCCAATTAACTTCTAAATTAATTGGTAATTTCGAGATATCTCTGAGATTAATTTTCTCAATTACACAAGGATATTAAGATTGAAGCTTGACCGTTGAAATATTATTTAAATTTTTATTTATCAAATGGCAGGCGTTATGATAGTTACCATTAGCCCTTTAGTTCACTTCAGGCTTCACAGAGGGGAGGGAACATCAAATTGAAAAAAGTCGAGATGGGGAGGGGAACAGAAGAGTGTTTCAACGATATAAAAGAGACAAACACAAAGGTAGAGCAAAGGTGAGGTGAGTACTGTAGAAATAGTCGAATATGGCATAGAGTGAGGTGATGGTAGTTTGAGGTGAGAAGTCAACTGCCAGTTAATAGACTGTTTTTTGCCGTATGAGTATACGTTGCCCAGGGTGCACCACGTGGAGGTAAGTCTATCGC